CGAAATAGTCATGAATATGCGCGGAAAGAGGATGAACTTTGAATAGCTATAGCTGAGAAACAAGCTGAGGCTGGGACTAAAGAAGCAAGAACTCGTCTCAGGCAGGAACAAAAGGATGCCTTGGACATTGCAGCTGCAGCAGGATCTTTGCGGGTGTATATCAGTTGGACACGGGGCAATTGGACACAGTCCAATCACAAGTCGCTGTTCCAAGGGACCCTACAAATGTCTCTAATCACACGGTGCTGTGATTGGCTGTGTCCAAATGCACTGTGTCCAAGTGCACCGCTCCCGATCTTTGCTATATGGTGCAGGAATAGATGATTTTGTGTAAGTTAAAAAAATAAGTTTTTTTCTTAGTTTTATTCGTATTTTTAACTTTAAAAGCGTTTTTCTCAAAACACGATTTTTGAAGTCGGTGGTCACGATTTCTCAAAAACTAATGAACCGATCTTTCTGAAATTTTGCATACTTCTTCTAAATTGGATTGACTAGTGATTGAACGAAGGATTCTTGATTTCATTAATTAGAAGTAATTTTACAAAACTAAACGTTCTGAAAATTTTACCAAAAATTTCACTCTTTTGTTTACAACTCTGCCAAAAATTCAAATTTCAATATTTTTTAAAATCCTTCGATCACGAGCTATACTCATCTACTAACAGAAAATTTTTGGTTTTTTGATTTCAGATAAAAATATCACGAGTTATCGTGACCACCACAAAGGCACTTTTTTTCGAGGCGTCGCCGGAAATTAACTCTCAACGGCTCAATTTTCAATATTTTTGGCTGAAAATTTTTTGAGATATAGTTCAAATTCAACCCTTTCATGTACATAAAATTTTGTATTAAAAAATTTTTTAATTATATGAAAAAAAAATTCGAGAAAATATGCTATTTTTTGAGCCTCAAAACCCACATAAGCCCTTAAAATTGCAGTATTAGTATCGAGTTCGAGAACTTCGAATCGACATGAATCCGAACAGTACGTGTTAGTTGGCCAACGTTAGTTGACCGTTATAAATTTAACATTGGTCCAATGCTTAAAATGTTAAACGCGAATTTATACGTATATACTTCATTATTTACTTTAACAGATATGCAGTGGGTCGCAAAATGATTTAGATACAATGAAATTAGGAGCTCATTGAACTGACAAAATTGAGTCATTATTGTGTCACGGGATATACCTTAGTAATTATATTAGTAATTATTATTTATAAGAATTTGTTATTATTGAGTGTTCTTAATTATATGTTAATTATAATTATATTAATAATGATATTATTAATAATAATATTATTGCGTAAGTTCATCGGTGATAATTTTAATAGTTTGGCGAGTTTCCAAATTCATTGTGTCTAAATCGTTTTGCAATCCACTGTACGCTTAGTTGTAAAACAATTTGCATACTTTTAATTAGATGAAGTTGCAAAGCTTCAAGTTGTCACAAATAAAAGTATCACTGCTGATGTGCATGTGCAGTGATCGGCTATGACAGGATCTATAATGGCAGTACAAAGTATGACATTAAATTTGGAAAGAATTTATTTTAAAATAAGGGAATATTATTTTTTCTGAGGGAATTTTTATAAATTTTATACACGCGAACAAAATAAGATAACGTGTGATGATGTGGTGAATGCACGTCAACAGTGACAACCAAAAGCATTGCAATTTCATTAGATAAAAGTATATGTAAACTATTTTGCGATCGAGCATATACAGGATGTCCGATAGCTCACAGGAGAGTCGTAGACTTTGCTCAAGAGGATTTTTGTAAAACCAAAAGAAGAGATTTTTCTAAGAAGATTTTTCTAAAAGAAAAAATATTCTAAGCGTATAATATTCTTAAGGTTATATAGGGGAATTTCGTCTTTTATTTACAACACAAATCTTGCTTGCCACGTCTCTTATATCGCAAGCATTTTGTGTGTATGCTTCAAATAAATATATTCCTCTTAAAAAGGAAAAAAAATTAAAAAACATCTAGTAGATTTCTAGTGGAATTAATAATCCACTTCATTAGAAGAGAAATACTTTTTCGGTAAAAGTTTTCACTATGAAATAAAAATATGAAATTAGAGGAAATAGTACCATGTAACTAGAGTTCTTTCTTTTAGGTTATCAATCGCTGATATCTCAAATACCAGGAACGACCTCTTTACTGGAGGAAATCGCAATTTCTGAGAAGACAACAGTAATGATAGAATCACACTGGTAGACTAGTTACAATTTAAAAAACTATACTACATCTCGAAAACCAAACTACGCCTCGAAAATTAAACTCGATTATTAATTCGAACTAAATTTAAAAAATTTAATTTACTAAAATTTATTGTAAATAAATGACTAAAAGATATATAAATTTATTAACTGACTAAATAATATATAAATTTATTAACTAAGTTTAACGAAAATTAGATTTAACGAACAATACAACAAATTTGCAAACAGCAATTTACGTTACCACATGAAACGATTAATTCGAACAATCGACCAAATTGCACAAATAATCCTCATAGTTTAGAGAAATGCTAATTATGCAGGCACGACTTATGCAGAAATCGAAACGTGTGGAGTAGGATTTGCGGTCAGTTATAATCGCAATAATTCGGTAAGCGTCTGTGTGTTGACAATGTCGAATAATACAAATCGCGCAACAACACGAAACGCGTAGTTGCGAATGTGTGTCGTGGGTGTTGTTGAACTAAATTAGAAAGTAACATTTATAAGGAGTCATGTTGTTGAAAGACGCGATATTCTTAAGGAGACTTACTCATACGCATAAACGAAGACAAATATGGATAATCGCGCAAAAGAGAAAGAAGCATTATCGTGATATTCGTAATGTTTCGGCTCGGGTTAATTATGACCTACACGGCACGCAGACGACCTAATTCGATTAATCCTCGTTCGTCTTCGTTTAGGCGACGTAATGATTACTCATCTTTGTTAATCCACTCGCAAGATACTCTCCGCTTTTAAAGAGATCCTAACGCTACTCTCCAGTAAATCAATATTTTATCAACCTTTTCACTACGGCTGATCTGTGTGGACGTGAAATCCCACTACTGTACGAACATTCAGCCCCGCATAATAAACATTAGTAGTTCGAATAGCATTTATACTTTAATACGCTGTATAAATGATACAGCTTACGTTAATATATAGAATAATAATTAATAAATTCATAGTATTTACATATATATATTTATATATTTATATGTAATGAATTACAAATAAATAAAATAATAGTTTTCTTTTAAAACTAAATGGAACAATAACTTTTTTTTAATCGCATATAATAAATATGTATTTTAATATAAAGACTATGAATGTATAAATATAAATAAATATAAGAACATATATAAATGATACAGCGTTATTATACAGGGTGTCCCACAACTGGTAGAACACCCGTTAAGGGTAGGTGCAATTTGCAACTGAAAGTTCCTCTTCAATTTTTGGATCCGACAATTAGTTAATGAGATATTAATTAATTAAGTCTACCGATCCCTTAGCGCCCTGAGTGAGCGCCCAGGGGCGTAGGACGTTGTGGGTTCCTCAAGGGCCTTGCTTGTCCGCTTTTCTCCCCTTTTTTGTATCACAGAAAAATAAACATGGATAAGTGAGTGAGTGGGTATGTGGATGAGTGCCTGGCCGGGGCCAGGGTGGTGGCAAGTTTTCAATGTGTGGGTGTGATGTATGGGTGTTTTTGTATGCGGTTATGAGTGCATGGATAATTTGAATGTTTTTAGTGCGAGTGGGCGAAGTAATTGTACTTCATGTGCCGAGAGGGGAGGGCATGTGTGATATGTTTCCTTCGAGTGCGTAGGTAACTTGAATGTTTTCTGCAGGTCGATGCAGAGTATCGTGAATCCTTTAAGACCTGCTGTCCATGTATGCCCGTTTCCACCGTTGCCCCTCCTTATCTGGTGCAAATAATACAAATAAGCCCCGGGGTCGACACCAATTTTCTTTTTGGCAGCCCCCGAGGGTATAGATGAAACAATAGATGAAACAATAGATGAAACAATAGTTTTTTTTAAACTAGATAGAGCAATAACTTTTTTTTAACCGTATATAATAAATACTATAAATATACTATAAATATATACTATAAATACCGTATACTATAAATATATTTTAAAGCAAGTACTTGGATATAATCCTACATCGCATATACCACATTGATATCGCGACTTTCATCTTTTATAATTTTTAATACAAATAACATCATTAAAAAATAATTTTAAAAAAATAATTATTATGAATACATATCTATTTCCTCGATATACTGTCAAAAAATAACAGCGTTTTCGACTTTATAAACTTAAAGTTAATAATATCATTTAAAATAACAAAAAAATAATTTCGTAACAAAATTAGTGAGATGTAATTCTTAAATGAAAATAAACGTTTATATAAACGTTTTTATTTTGAAAGTTGAAAAACATTTTAAAAATGACAAAATAAGACTTTCATTTGATGTAAATAGCTATTGTAAGACAGTAAACAGAAATATGATGTATATAGCCGGTCTCAAAACGATTTGTATACACCATTTATCGAGTAAAGTTGCAATGCTTTAAAATTCTTAGAATTGAAACCGTGTCATATATGTGCGTACTAATCGGTTATATATAAATAAAAATTACTTCACAACAACGAGTTCTTTTAATTAAAAATAAATTCTTTCTTCTAAATTTCACGAGTGTCATGCTGCGTACTATTACTTCGGCTTTTGTCATGACCTTGTCATTACTGCGTATAGACAGCAGTGATTTTAGTTTTGACAATTGAAGCGTTGCAAATTCATTCCATAAAAAGTGTACAAATTTTAAGTGTGTAAATTATTGCACCGATGTGCAATATTTTGTATCTGATACATTCTGTCTGATAAATGCTTCGGTATCGCTGACGCATTATGATTACCTAGATAACGATAGTCGATAAATGCTTTCAGCTGCAGCAACACGATCAGTTGCATATGTTTCCGGCCGCACGTTAATTAATCGAAAAACAGGGATAGTGTATAGAATAAAAGTGACATTTTTATAGTTTTACATTTTGTCTGGTTGAATAAAGAGAGTTATTTGCTTGCTGGTAAGCCTGTTTTTTATAAGAATAAGTCCACACAGTGATTGCGCCATTACTTGCAGCGTTTTTCTTGTAGATTTGCGCTCTTTTGCAGAACATGTTCACATGTTGTACATATATTCAGAAATCATCTTATTTAAACTCGCTTGTTGTAAAACAATTTGTAGATCTTTTTTCGATACACTTTGAAATGCATTCGACGTTTAATTAAAAAACTTTCGAAAAAATTTCAAAAAGATGTTCGAGATTTACTCAAAACAAATTGGACGTTGGTTGCTTTTCGAAGTATTTCGAAAGAAAAATATGCAAACCTTCCTCCTCCCGCTCTTCTACAACCGAGTGTATAGTTGTAAAATAGCTTAAACATGATGAAATTGACAATTCACTGAACCATCAAAATTGAAAGTTATTACTGTGTTGTGTGCGGATATATGTGTGCATACGCGCGCGTGTGTGTCTCGAGCTTGTCCATTCATTACATTAGCAATTATTATTATTAATTATTATTATTATTATTTAGTATTAATTATATTATTGTTACTATTATTACATAAATCTGTCGGTAATGACTTTCAATTTTATATTTTTATCCCACTTCTCCTTCGTCGTTACAAGTTTAGGTCCTATTCCAATGTCACATGACATATGAAATTACATCCTCCTCACACATAGAATAAGAGAAATAAAAAACATTATATTATAAATAATAATTATTAGATTGCGCGGTACTAACTTTTTTTCAATAATTACTTATTAGGACCTTAACTTAGTTTCCGCCCGCAAATGTTAGATGGCAATGCAAACAGTTCTAGTAGTCATTACTAACGAAACAGGTAGTTTGTGATTAATTTCGACATTTCTCGATAACATTCAGTCAGCATACACAATTATTTTCCTAAACAACAATTTCTTTTGCTTTGTGAAAAATGGAACGCGATAAAGTGTTTTTTCGACATGTGCTTTTGCACTATTTTGATTTGAAAAAAAGTGTAGCAGAAGTTCATCGATTACTTGAAGAAGGTTATGGTGATCGAGCTCCATCACATACAACATGTAAAGAGTGGTATAGACGATTCAAAAGTAATGATTTTGATGTCAATGACAAACCACGCTCAGGACAGCCAAAAAAATTCCAAGACGATGAATTGCTAGCATTATTGCATGAAAACTCGGCTCGAACGTTACAAGAACTTGGAAACGAGCTAGGAGTTACTGAAGCAGCTGTTTCCAAACGTTTACACGCCATGGGAAAGATCCAAAAGGAAGGAAGATGGGTACCACATGAATTGTCTGAAAGTGCCATTCACAACCGTTTCAATATCACGGTTTCGTTGCTTGCCAGGCAAAAAAAGAAGAGTTTTCTGTGGCGTATTGTGACTGGCGATGAAAAGTGGATCTACTACGACAATCCCAAACGCAAAAAATCATGGGTAGACCCAGGACAACCATCAACATCGCAGCCAAAACGGAACATCCACGGTCATAAGGTAATGCTTTGCATTTGGTGGGATCAGCAAGGAGTGCTGTACTACGAACTGCTGAAACCAAACGAAACTGTTACTGCCGATGTCTACAAATGTCAATTGAACAAATTGAATGATGAGCTGTTGCGAAAAAGACCAGCAATAGCGAGTAACAGGCGCAAAGTTATTCTCTTACACGATAACGCTCGGCCACACACTGGAAAAACCGTCAAAGAAACACTGACGCAGCTCGAATGGGAAACTCTTCCTCACCCAGCGTACTCACCAGACATAGCGCCTTCTGATTACCACTTGTTCAGATCGATGCAGCACGGCTTGAGTGGTACACGCTTCCGAAATGTTGAAGAAGTGCGAGAATGGGTGGACGAATGGATTGCTTCGAAACAAACATCGTTTTATCGAGATGGTATCGCCCAGTTGCCAGAAAGATGGCAAAAAGTTGTAGAAAGTGATGGAAAATACTTTCATTGAAATAATTTAAATAAATTTTTTACAATAAATGCTTTTTCTCAGTATTTTTTGGGCGGAAACTAAGTTAAGGTCCTAATACAAACGATTTAAAAGAATAGTTTTCCAACCGGAGTTTTTTTCCGGTCAAGTACATATAAATGTTGGAGTGGTATTCATTGCTCCGAGCGCTATTCTCAGAGTCTCAAATTGCAAGCGATCCAGCAAACAACCTATGTTCAGGGCGATATTGCAAAATGCCTGAGAGCCATACTCCATTGTGGACCTAATCCAGTTCCTATACACATGTAGCAAATTACTCGGATGCGCTTCCCACGAGAGGTCTGCAATCGGATGTATATCAGTTGGACACGGGGCAATTGCACACAGTTTAATAATAAATAAATAATTCTTCCAAGAATTGGGAAATTTAGAGAAAGGAAACATTAAGTTATACAAATTTAAGAGTATCTTGAAAGTTTGATGTGGCAGTTCGGAGATTAATCTATTGGAGATAAAATCCGGACCAGGTGCAGATTTCTTCTTGAGAGAAGCGACCGCAAAATTGAGTTCTTCCATGAAGAATGAAGTTATTATCTTCTTACAGGAGGTTTTGAAGAATTGTGCTGTAGGGTTGCCCCCTTCCGAAAGACGCATGCTCCGAAGAGCTCTGGATACAAAGTCTTCCGGAAAAGTAGCTTGCGACACAGTCGATGAAAGAGAAGACGCAGACGCAGAAACTTTGGCGAACGCTCTCAATACTGCTTCTCTTCTCGAGTCGAAGTCTCCCTTGAGGACGGAGAGACGACGATTTTTAAAGGCACGAAAAGAACGCCACATCTTGACACTGCTCGTTCGAGGATTCAGACCTGTACAGAAGTTAGTAAAGTTTTCAGTTTTAATTTGTTTCAATTCTTTTTTAACTCTCGCGGTTATTAGTTTAAAGCAACTGAGATTTTCAATCGAAAGGTGATTGGTAAATGTCTTAATGCTGTTTTTTTTTCCTGAATCAGGGTATCACATGTCGAGGATCACCAGATAGCCGGTGGGGTCTCTGACCTTCGAGTACCTGACGTCCTTTTACCTCCATTATCCAGAAGATGCGACTTGATACAGTCCGTCAGTGCCTCGTACGTCGCAAGGACAAAAAAACTGCCCGCGGCGAACTCATAGGGAGAATTGTTCATTGACTGTCTAAAGCTGTCCTAGTCAACCCCCGATGCATTCAATGAGGGTCGAACCAGCATAGGCAGAGTGGTCAGTTCATTGATCCGCACGACCGTAGGAAAATGGTCACTGATGTAATTATCCAACACCTTCGTGCTGACAATCACAGCCAGGGAAGACGAAGCAAAGATGTAGTCCAACACGGATCTGAGGGAACCGTCAGCCGACGTCCACGTCGGTTCTCCCGTTCCCACATTCACACAATTAGACATAGAGAGAACAAATTCTAGCCTCTTCATTATAAGAAGTTGGCAGGAAAGATCAAGCTGGCATATGAATATTGAAGTCATCCATTAGGATTACGTCCTTGAAAAGACTGTCTATCGAATCAAAAAACTGATTCCAGAAAGATACTTCGGTTTCATCGGAAGCGCTACGTGAAGGGCTATATATAGAACCAATAGTTAGATTTTTCTTATTTTTTAAGTGAACATTGATAATTACTAAATCTACTTTATTATCTTGACACAATCTTTGAAGCAGCAACAACTCGAAACGTGAGAAATTCAGCTTTGTGCTGATCAACATACCTGCGCCACCTCCAGATGAGGACAATCTGGGTAAGTTGACAAAGGTGAAGCCTCTGATAGGACATCTGTACATATTCTGAATGGATTGTGGAATTCTCGTCTCGGAGATACATACTACATCCGGCGACTCCTCCTCGATGAGAGTGATGAGATCGACTGTTCTAGCAAGAAGAGAACGGACGTTCCAATGTATAATTTTTAAGTCACCTATAACCGAACTTTTCCTCTGAGTAGTCATTGCACTTTTACTAGATTATGGATTTTCGACTATGTCAAATGTCGAAAATATACTAGTTAAATCAGTTAAAAAAATTTCAATTCGCTGATATTTTTCTTATTTAACAGGAACGTCCTGGGGTCTGCAGGAAAGGTGGCATCCGCACCTGACCCGCTGCCTTCCGCCATAGAAAAGTTATTCTTCAAGAAGGATAACAAAAATTTAGACATGATGGAGTTGGAGCTACCCAAAAACTCCTGAAGACTCAGGCAAAAGTCCTCACTGGTCCCACGAGGAAAGATGTACGGGCTATCGTTGAATATCCTCCTGAAGGCCTGTTTGGACTGCGAAGCCCTCTCCGCCGGGGTCAGCTGAGTTTGTTACATCATAGAAGAACTCCCTTTTCTACGAGAAGATAGTCTTTTAAATGCGAGGTAAACATCGCCGACGACTTTCCCTCTTTTCTTCCTTTCATCTCTCCTCTTCTTTAAAACCTGTAAGGAGGAGAGAAAGCCTCTCTGCCCACGAGGTTGATCTGCTGAGGAAGTCCACGAAACCCCGGATCGTGACCCCGAAAAGGCATCACCCCAGGTCTTGACGCTCTTCTGTCCATCCCCTTTCTTTTCTTTACTCCTAGAACTGACCTTTGGTTTAGTCAGAATCTCAGCATACATGATTGGTTTTAGCTTCTTTATCAGCCGAGCTAAAAATCCTCAAGCGAGGGAGGGGGGAGGAAGCCACTAAACGTGGAATCCTCTTATTCTTCCTCGTTACCGCTTGCACGGATAAATTTTTCCGCATCCGCTGCGCCTAAACAATGCACAGCCATGATGCGCCTTACATTGCGATTGTGAATAAACACGGGACACTTCTCGCTCGTGGCCCGATGATTGGAGTCTGCGAGCTTGTCCTGCTCACAATTCACACATAATTCCTGATCCAAGAAGCAATCCAATATCGAGTGCCCTTCCCTGGAGCACTTTTCACAAACTGCTGGATCCTTAAGCCTTTTGCAATAGTTCTTAGTGTGACCAAAGCGCATGCAGTGACCACACTAAGTAACCTTGCCTGTATAAGGGCGTATCTAAATTTTTTTACCCAACAGAAACACAAACGTCGGCAAACAGAAGTTTTCGAATGTTGCAACGTAAAGTTTAGAATCCTGCATGGTGAAGTTCTGAGGATTATCCGAATTCGGCACACGTCTTTTCATACGTTTCACTCGGAGTGGCGAAGATCACTTGCCCCTCCAATTGTGAGTCGGACGTAATTTTTCACGGATAAAATCGACATCGAAATCACACTCATCGATGCCGAATAGGACCGCCTTTTTATATATTTATCCTGTAATCAGGAATATATGACACTCGGATTTGGCCTGCCACCAGTTTCTCGCTCAGCGGAGCCATCTTCGCCAGGAAGGATTTAGTCAAATCTGCATTGAAAAAAGACATCATAAATTTAGTGTCCAAGATTTTCCTAAAGTCAAACGAGACCGATGTGTAATAACTAACTATCGGTTGGTCATGCAATGTCTTATCCAATCTTAAGGTACTAGTTGTACTATTAGCTTGAGACGGAGCAGATGGCATCATATTGCACAGACTAAACCGTTAATTTCTCCAGGAAAACAATGTATGGACCATTACTGCCCTTCGAATACTTATTGAAAATAGTTTCCGGGGCCTGAGGATGATAATCATGGGAGCGGTGCACTTGGACACGGTGCATTTGGACACAGCCAATCACAGCACCGTGTGATTAGAGACATTTGTAGGGTCCCTTGGAACAGCGACTTGTGATTGGACTGTGTCCAATTGCCCCGTGTCCAACTGATATACACCCGATAATCATTATCCCCTGGTCTATTCAAGTCTAAAGACACAGAATTTCCCTGATCCCTCTCTTCAAGACCAATTCCAGCGGTAGGAAGAGGAAAGGAGCCAGCTACAACTAGCGGAGTTTGTCCCTCGCCCTGCTGGGTCCTTCCATCTCCATCCGCAGAGGTTATGGATTCACTTTCAGATAGTCTTATTTTTTTAACGCTCCTTCTCTGCGTCTTCGGGGTGTGAGCCGAAGCTTTTCTCCCTAGCAGATAAGAATTACCTTGAGAAAGCTCAATAGGTAAGGTTGCCTCGGTCAACCTCTTCCTTAATTTGTCTGTGGTTTTGGTCAGAGAAAGACTGGGTGAGCTTAATCTCTTAACCATTACACTTTTATCCGAGCAAAACCGCTGGACCTGTTGCTTTTCCTCTTCCCACGCCCGCAGGCCTTTGCTCAAATGTGGAACGATCCAGTTCCACAGCCACCGTACCTTGCTCATCAGGATTGGGAGAGGACTTCCAAATCCTTCGTACTGAGGTCAAAAAGCATCCCCGAAGCCGAGGATGATGCATTTTGCTGATCCATGCTCGCGTATCACTAGTCGAGAACACGTGGCTATCACGCATATCACGACCATATCACACGCGTATGATCATGTGCTAACCACGCGTTTCAGTGTTTATGCCGTGCCAATAAAGCGCACACGCGATCACGTGATACCAACACGCACCGGGCACGATACTTTTACTAGCGTCAGAAAAATTTCAATTTGTTGAAAAATAATAAATCGTAATCAGAACCAAAGGAAAACCGGGTCGAAATTAAAAAAAAATTGCATAAATGTTAAATGAAATAAATCGTAGGCGTTCACACAGGAATTTCTCGAAAACCTTAATTAATTTCAAAACGAGAGGCAACCAAGCTTACGATCCACTCAGTGCGAGCGTTGAAGGCCAACTCGACTCGAGTCGTAGCTAATCGTAAGCCCGTATCAAAAGTATATGCATTATAATCTTTGAGTAGCGTATATAAATAATTGTTACGTTTTAGCATTGACCGACTGGAGTCGGCAGTCGTAGTCGGCAGTCGAGTCGGCCTATGCAGTCGGTAGTCTGATACGAGTTTTCTTTAGAGACTCTAGAGATTGGGTACTTTTCATTTAATAACACAAGTCGATATAAACATCATTTTGTCTTTGTTCCATATTCAATAAGTAACTAAGATAGGATGATGCTTGTGTCGACTTGTGTTATTAAATGGAAAGCACCCACTCTGAGATTCAGAGTCTGAGTCAGATCTCTGATCATACTGGATAGTGTACGCCTTTGTTCTCGAGCGTTCAGAAAGAAATAGTTGAGTGGAAACGGTGTACCTTTGTCTAACCAGCTCGAGGTGACTCCACATCACATGACTCCATGTATAACCCACTCTGAAACATTAACCTCCACACATATTTCCCATACATCGAAACAGTATATTTATATATAATATATATAAAAGAAAATAAATGAGCGAGAGAAAGAGACAGGTAGTCATATGTCTGTCTCCTTCTACTTGCCCGATCCCCTTTTTCTCACACGGACACAACGTGCGTTTGTACGTGCGCTTGTATGTGTCATCTCTGGCTACCGCGTGCTACGAAGAGCTCCAAGCCTGGTAGCACTGGTAAGCAACTGGATATAAAGAACGACTAAATTACGCATCGGATGTATCGGGTTATATCCTTTGACTATATAAGTATGGACTGCCAGTTATCTCCACTTTTCCTATTCTCACAATGCTTCGCTATGTAATTAACATCACGCGTGTCTTCAAAGGATTCAAATGTCAAAAAATCAAAACGAAGTCAGATTTCGATGGTAAAACAGGAAGGAAGAGAGAGATGGAATATGACATACGCCCCAATCAACACATTCAGTTGTGGCTATATAACTTGGAAGTAACAAGTTATATAACGAATTTGTTATAACAGTTATATTACAGCTATGAAATTTTACTATTTTCTTTTTACATAACTGCTCAATCAGCACATTCAGTTGCTGCTATATAACCTGAACGTAAAAAAGGTATATAAGGAATACATTATAACAGTTTACATTTCTGTAATTTTAATGTCGTTCTACATAATTGCTGAGTCAACACATTCAATTACTGCTATATAATCTGGAAATAAAACAGTTATATAACGAATATATTATAACAAGTATATTATAACAGTTCTTTTTAATTTTAATGTCCTTTCTATAATTGTATAAACCCACTCGGTGGTTATTTTCGTGCTGCATTGTTCCGATATTCGCTTAGTCTGTTCTTTTCTATTGTACTGTTGAAGTGGTTCACAATGCCCTTATAGAAATATCATACTAAGAATCATTGATAATTACTTATTTTTAGTATTAAAAATACTGGATAATAAGTAATTATCAATGATTCTTAGTATGATATTTCTATAAGGGCGGTCCCAGTAAACACAGAACATAACTGTGATATAACACAGAGTAACATGTAATATAACTGTTATATCCCTTATAGAAATGTAATACTAATAAGTAATTATCACTGGCCAAATTATTACTTATCAGTATTACATTTTTATAAGGATACGTTATTAATATTGAGGTTACTTAATTTCCTTTATAACTGCGATATAACTATGTTATAAAGCTGTTATGTTATTATGTTATTTACTGATTAAGTTACATCAACAATATAACAGCAACATAACTTTAATATAACTTGTTATATAAGAAGTCTAATGTTCTCGATGAAAAATTTTTCATGCATAATTATATATAAAATTTGTCTATACATAATTATGTATAATTATATATAATTATATAAAATTATAAATAATTATACACAGT